GTGCGGGACTATGAGGGAGTACTCCCGAAATAGTGCTACGCGATGCTACACTCAAAAGAAGTTCTCTTGAGAATATTATTAATCACCGAGTTAGTTGGGAAGTTGAAAATATCCGATAGATGGGCTGATGACTTTGGGAACCTCTTTAGAACTTTGTTCTGCAGGTACAATCAACCTTTAGTCCACAACCTTTGGGGATGGGTATACCCTTTTGCTCCATGCTCGTTGCAAACCTAGGGCCTCCCTTAGTTGTTTACCTTCACGCCCTTATGTGCTTACTTGTGTTTGTTGCATTCATAGAGCATCATATTGCTTTGGTTTCATGGGATTCCTAATTTAGTTATAAACATTGCAGAGGTTCATAATAAGTGTCCTTTATGTTTGATGATACTTTAGAGGTTCATATGTTGATATGTATCTTGATAGAGATATTCTAGTGGGAAAAAGATCTCCATTCGTTTGGCGACTTATATTCTAGGCTTGGTTTTGTCACAGGGTGCATTCAAGAACATCAGAGGATGATGACAATCCTGGAAGTGGAATAAGATAACTTGAAATCCCTCATCAATATGGTGGATTTAAAGGCACTGGCCCATGCCAAGGAGGGGAAATGTTTGAAGGGATCACTCGAGAAAGCCCTCAGTTCTATAAAAGAGCTTAGGAAGGATGTGCCATCGCTTAAAAACAAAGTTGTGATCACATCTGATTAGTATTTTGAGAGAGAGAATGAGCAAGCGACTTTCTTCTACCTAAACATGGACTTGAATCGGATGAACCTATTCAAGGTGGTTAGGAATGGTCAGCTGGTAGATGGCGTGTAGGTCCCATGACAAGTCTCTTACACCTTAGTTCCTTTTTTGTAATATGTCTTTTCCTATAACATTTTTAAAATGTTTTGTTTGTTTATTGCTTTTGGATGTTATCCCTCATTGAATATGCCTACTTTGCTTATAATTTTCTCTTAGCTCCCGCCAAGGTGGTAGTGATCTTTATGCACGGGTCCCGTGCCTTTGATTGCCCCAAACGGGACGACAAAGACTTTGTGTAGAATCCAACATGCTTAATTGCCTCAAAGGGTGACAAGGATCCCTCTATGAGGATCCATAGTGTTTAATCACCTTAAAAGGTGGAAAGGATCCCTTTATAAGGAACTAGCATGTTTAATTGCTCAAAGGGAGACAAAGATCTCTATATGAGGGTTTAATATGTTTAATCGCCTCAAAGGGAGGCAAGGATCCCTCTATGAGGGTCTGGCACATTTGACCGCCTTAAAAGGCGGCAAGGATCCCTCTATTAGGGTCTAAAACATTTTATCTCCTCAAACGGAGGCGATGATCCCTTTATGAGGATCCAACTTTACCTCACCTCTGAGGGTGGTTTCCTTCCAATAAAAAAGGGAAGATGACAACGCAAATAGTTAAAAATAATAAAATGAGGAGTCTCATTAAAAACCCTTTCCCCTTCACGTGGCACAAGGGAAAAAAATGCTTCCCTGATAGGTGAGATATAATACTTGCCTAATCAAAAGTAATAGCAATAGAACAAACAAATAATGGTAAAATGAGAGTGTCTACAAGGCCTTCTTGCTGAGGCTTTATTCTCCTGTCTTCTCGCTTTTTCGAGGAGGAGCCTCTCCACCTTTAAAAGCCGTTTCCAATGGTTTGATTCACGCATATGGTTCAGACTCTTTTCAACTTGAGACTTTTCACGTAGCATTTTCTAGAAACTTCTTGGTCTCCTTGGATGACTATAATCCTCCCATTAAAGAGTGGTTATTTCATGCACAAAACTAAGGTAGAGAAGGCAGCGCCCAACTGATTAAAATCTTGTCAATATATAATCAAATATAAGGTAGACAAGGTGGTGCCCCAACTGATTAAAACCTGGTTTCACAAATATACCATCCTCTATATTCAATATCTAGATGGTATATCTTTTTATGGTAGAGCTAGTCTCTTTGCCTCCAATGAATCCTCCTGCAATAGTATTGAGTATATGGCGTACGACCTTGCCGAATGTTAAATAGGCTAGTGGTGGACATCTTTCTATGCCAAATGGCCATGAATTGGTGCACAAGTTTCTTCACCAACTCCAAGTAGCTGGCGATGGAAGCTCAGGGCAGGCCCATGTACCATCGTAAGGCCGCATTTGTGAAAATTCCATACAAAAACTTGCATTTTAGAGTGTTAGGTGCTTTGATGATAGCCATCTACATGTTTATGGAAGCAACATTCTTGTAAGGGACACCAGGCCCGTCAAACTTCGACAAAGTGAGAGGCTTAACACTTTTGGGAATAAGTGCTTCCCATATTTTGTCTGAAATTTCTAGGTGTCCAACATTTTCATCTCCTATGTGGGGGTAGTCTCTTTTTAGCGTTGTTGAATGTTAAGGATGTTATCCTCCCAATTTTGATTTTGGTGGCGCAGTTTGTTCATGATGGCACATATCTTTGCTATGTCTTTGGGATCACTGTTACCTCTGGTATCCTCATGTTGGGGGGATTGTGCCCACCTAACAATCATGATTGAAAACTGTTAGGACTGGGAGTGGAGATTTTGGAGAGTGTCAAAGTGGTGATGATAATGGAATGTATGACCCAGGTTAGTTTTACCGCGACCCCATTGTAGGCGCCACTGTACTTACTAAAAAAGTATAGATGCGTGACACCACTATGCTGATAAGGATGGTCAGAGGCTTTAGTATTTGCGGTGATTTTATGACAAGCTTACGGTGGTGAGAGGCTTGTTTTGAAGGTGTTTTTAGTGTGGATATAGCAAGTTCACGAGGGTGGGAAGCTCTGTATTTGGAGGTATTTTCTCTGTATTCATAATGATCTCTCCTCATTCTAGGAATGAGATATTTATAAAGGTCTAAGGCTCTGGATCTAGGGAACATTGATAAGTAGTAACCGCTCACCTTGATTAAGGAAGTTGTTGACTGCCTATTTTTTTAGGGAATTGTAGCCAACACTTCTTGTACATGCGATTATAGGCTATGTACACATCATCATCCATGTTTTCCCTCAGGGAGAGCCACCTATTGCACGAGGGTTAGGCTTAGGCGACTAATTCTGGAGCGGGCACCAGATGAGGACAATTCTCGTACCACCTCATTTATGAGACTTTACAAATATTTTGCTACACCATCCAATTCAAGCTGGTGGCTAAAATGGAAGAGACCCTCAAGAGTTTTACATGACACAAAAGTACCATTAAAGGTGAATGGGATGTTTTATTGGACAGGGATAAGACATGTGAGGTTATACGAGACAAAATGTTGGATCGTTAGAATTAACACAAGAATATATTAAGTATATCATCCGAGATAAGGATGTCGTATTGGATGTGTGGTAAGACTAGACGGAATAAAATTAGAAATGACAATATTAAGGAGAGTGTTGAAGCATCGTCTATAGTAGAAAAGATGATGGAAAATAAGCTAGTTGGTTTGGACATGTAGAGAGACAATATGTAGATTTTGTTATAAGGACAATATATCAAATGAAGATGAGTAAAAAAATTAGAGGTATATGAAACCTAGAAAAATTTTAACAAAAACTATTAAGAAAGATCTCAAGATAAACTAATTTGATAGAAACATAATCTACTTTTAATATATAAAAGTTAATTACCACCATAATTACTTAATTACCCTAATTACAATCCATAATATAGCTAATTTCATGTTCCTATAAGTAATTTCGTAATAAACTCTTTTTAATACTCTAACTAACCCTACCATTTTGCAATTTAATAAATTTGCCTCGACAACATAAAGAAACTCTTTTTAATACTCTAACTAACCATACCATAAGTTTTATTTAATTGAATAAATTGATATTATTATTATTAATATTGTTATTTATTAATATTTATTATCATCATTATTAATCCCATTTACTCACTTAATAACTCAAAATATTCCAAAACCACTATTCCAAAACCACTGACAATATTATATCATTTTAAATGTAATGGATACATATATGCAACTTCCAATACACGTGTTTCAACCCTAAAAAATCAGTATATCCACATCTTTCACTTCAATATTTTTTGCTTATATTTGAAGCAAACTTTCCCAAAAGTAACCATCATTAATACTCTACTTTAACATCACATCAAACCTATATCTATCATACTTTTCAATAAAGATAGAAACCAAATTTGAATAATATAATATTAATTTTTTTTCAATCTAACAAATTTATTTCATTCTCCTATAAGATTACTAAAATACAATTTTAAATTAATTCCAGGTACAATAGTATGTTTGGATTCATATATTTATAAAAAAAATCATTATGTAATTGCAATTTTTATAAATTCATTCTGTACATTGACAATATTTTTTCTTAATACTGTTTTTTTCTTACATTGACAATATTTTTTCTTACCTATTTATATTACTAAAAAATATTACCGTTATGTTATTGTTGTTGCAATCTTATCATTCCAAAACGAAATCAATATCCTAAAATCAAATTAATTATTATTGTAGTTTTTTTGCCAAATATTATCGTTGCTTGATTTTCTTTAAATGACAAAATGAATTTTTTTAATAATAAATATTACCGTTATTTTATTGTTGTTGCAATCTTATCATTCTAAAATGAAATCAATATCCTGAAATCAAATTAATTATTATTGTATTTTTTTTGCCAAATATTATCGTTGCTTGATTTTCTTTAAATGACAAATTGAATTTTTTAAATAATAAATATGAACCACTTAAATTGAATTTTTGTCAATCCTTCTACAATTCTCTCTCAAACAAAGGTACGTTTTTAACAGATTTATACATTTTCACCATTTTTTTCTTTATCTTTTTTTTGCCAATCCTTCTACAATTCTCTCTCAAACAAAGGTACGTTTTTAACCGATTTATACATTTTCACCATTTTTTTCTTTATCTTTTTTTATTCCAAGTTATTAGGTTTGTAATTTTATAGTCATCTAAATTTGCAGTTACATTAATTTTTGAATTTTTTCCAGTGAAAATGAGTAGAAAGGTTGATTCTGTGAAAAACATCAATGACTCAAAAGAAACTTGGCGTCTTGCTGTTCGAATAATGGATGTTTGGAGTGTTGTGAATAATAAGGGTATTGAACATTTGGAGATGATTGTTATGGATTCCTTGGTAAATTGCTTTTCTTTTTTTAAGTATAGATTTTTGTATGATAGTTAGTAATTACAACAAAATGCTTTTTTGTATAACATATAAAAAGAAGATTATTTTTATTTTGTTAGGGTGATCGGATTCAGGTCCTTATTCGTCATGACCATTTACTGAAATGGAAAGAGGTCATTAAGGAGAATATGATCTGCATTATAAACAATGGCAGTGTCTATAACAATGATTTTTAGTGGAAGGTATGTGATCATTCAAAAAAAATTGTGTTTCTTGGTGGCACCACAATGAAGGCAATCGAACTTCAAAATATTCCACCTAAAGGACATTTCTTTAAAGATTTTGGTGAGATACTTCAAGGCAAATGCAAAACCGATAGACTGAAAGGTAATTTAAATTCTATTATAACTTATATAACTTATATATTTGCAAACACATTCAATAATGAACCTTACTTTAATGTAGATATTATTGGTGCTGTTAGTGAGATAAACCATATCCAATCCAACACTCCGGGGAAGAAAGTTGTTGTTTCTGTTGTGCTGAAAGATTTGAAGTAATACGCATTGTTTTCATAACTTATGTGTTTGATAAATTTATATATTTTGCATCACTGAATCCCATCATATAATATTGTTTATTTATATTGCAAAATAGGGGTAATTGCATAAATTGCAATTTATGGGAAATCTATGGATCAAATTTTTTGGCTTACTACAATGATCCTAAAAACAATGGAGCTATTGTAATTCTGCTCACTCATGCAATGGTAAAAGATGGCCAAGGTATTACACTATCATACTTTATAAATACATAGCTGATTTGTATTTTTCATTATACGTTCAATAATTTTTATATTAATTATACAATTTACAGTGTCAAATGCATGGAGTGGTTCCAAATTGTTGATAAATGAAGACATCCCTGAAATTCAAGATTTTATATCTAAGTATGGATTTTATTTATTTATTTATATTCAGATTATTATACATAATTTTTAATTTAAAAAACAATCTTATTTCTATAGGTTGCCTACTAATGAACAGAAGGAGAAGCCTACTCAATCTGCAAAATCTCTTTCTAATTGGTCTGGTGGTTCTCAGTATTCGCCAGTAGAAAGGTTTGTTCATAATGCGAAATGTATGTCCTTAAGTCAGTTCTGCAAAATCAAACATGTAAGTTGAATACTATAGAGCCGAATTTATCTTTACTATTACAATTATATTGTTTGCTTTTTGAAATTAATATCATTTTTGATTTGCTTTTAGGAAACTTTATGTGTTACTGTAGCAACCACATTGAAATTTGCTGTCTCAAAGTATGGATGGTTTTATTATGGCTGCACAAAGTGTTCTTCGAAGGCACCTAATCCTGAAAAAGCTTATGAATGTTCATGTGGGCAAAAAGTCGAACAACCCATACCAAGGTACATATAATCTAGATGAATTGCAAATAAATTTGGTAATGGATTTGTTATTAATCATATTATTTTCTTCGTTTAAAATACTATAGGTACAAGATTGAGATATATGTTAGCAATGGTGAATCAAAATATCGATTTGTATTCTGGGATTCCGAATGTGCTGCTATACTTAGAATGACTGCTGAATTTATGCATAACTCTATGGTGGAGGTACATTGTTATACATAAGTTAAAATGTTAATAGTTTATCGAGTTGTAAAGTTCAGATTATCACTCATGATTGATATTTTATTTTTCCATTAGAATGGAGAAGATGATCCAATGGTTTATCCTGATGAGCTTGAAATGCTGTTGAATAAGAAAATGACTTTTAGAGTTAAGGTGCAGCCAACGTTTTCCCAACCGTCTGTTTGGAAGCTTTGTGATGATGAAGCCTTTGTTAAAGAGATTGAAAATGACTACATAGTAGAAGAGGTATAATATTCACTTAATTCATGTATTATTTAAACATTTAACAAGTATAATAAATATTCGATGTTTCAATGTGCAGAATCAGTCTAAAACTGAATAGCAAAGGTGGTCCCTAACAAGGAAAATTTGGAAACTTCCGCAGTAAGTATCTTCATTTGTTAACATAATAACTTGCTATGATAAATATTGTATTATTATAATTCATTTTATATCTGACAATTAATTTTTTATATTGCAAGCAAACATTATCTGCATCTGGTGAAAATAATCCAGAATCAATCATTCTAATGACTCCGGCTAAGGATGTTGTAATTACTGACAAGGGTGAAGAAGTTGATTTTGAAGCGTCTGGCGCTACGCAATTATCAGGCACCAGACCATCCAAGAAAGTAAAGATAGAACCATCTTCTTAATTAGAATTTTCAGAAATTTGATATTGAAATATCTTTTATGATCTTTTTACCACCAGAATGAGTTTAAGTATGAAGTTGTTAAGAACATGATATGTTTTGGTTGTAGGATGTGTTCTTACTTTTTTGAAGTGTTTATTTTGTGGGATTACAATTGACATTTATATTTCATGTATGGTTTAAAGGATGATAATGAGTATTTAATTCATGTGTGTGAAATTATTCAAAATCCTATGTTGTTATGTTGAACATTGTGTTTTGTGTGTTCTTTCCACTACAAAATTTATATGAGTATCATATCTTCAAATGTTAATAAGTATTTTAGATTGATAACAAAATACGTTGTCATCTTATGAAATATGTGTATACGACTAAATTATAAATAGATTATTGCATATCATGTTTGGTTTCAGCATACCTAATGGTGTTAGAAATTAAAAAAACAATTACATAAAAATTTATTATGAAATCCTTCAAAACTAATTTTAGAAAACACATAGAAACACATTTTTTTACAATTTTTTTTCAAAGTCTAATACATATGTTAAAATTGCAGGTAGTTCAGAAATGTTGGAGCAACGTTTGAATCTTGCATTCAACTGAATTAAGGATTTATAAAAAAAAAACAAGGTATAATTATCATATACAATGAATTGTCTTTTGATTGGTAATAGAAAATCTACATTGTTTGTTTGACATGATTAAGTTAAGCATGCAACTATACTTTTTACCAATCTCACGTCATCATATATAGTATTATAACTCAACATATTTAAATTATTTATTTGCCAAAATATAGTTGGGGGTTGAAATGAATAATTATGTCCACTGCCTCATTTCTATTGGCTAGGTCAGTGGAGTATTAAAATAATTCAGCCGTAAGATAATTAATGCTATGCATGATTTGTAATAAATCAATAAGAATATCAATTCTTTATACATTTAGTTGTACAAGAAAATGATGGTAAATAATTAAGATGGACTAAGAAAATGAGTCCCACTAAATCCCACCATATGATTGCCAAATATTATCGTTACTTGATTTTCTTTAAATGACAAAATGAATTTTTTTAATAATAAGAATACAGATTTTTTTAGTGGTCTGTCTGAGATGTCAAACCGAGAATATGAAAAGAGGGAGAACTAATATGAAACGGTTCGATGAAAATTAGGGTTTTATTTAATTGAATAAATTGATATTATTATTATTATTAATATTGTTATTTATTAATATTTATTATCATCATTATTAATCCCATTTACCCACTTAATAACTCAAAATATTCCAAAACCACTTACAATATTATACCATTTTAAATGTAACGGATACAGATATGCAACTTCCAATACACGTGTTTCAACCCTAAAAAATCACTATATCCACACCTTTCACTTCAATATTTTTTGCTTATATTTGAAGCAAACTTTGCCAAAAGTAACCATCATTAACGCTCTACTTTAACATCACATCAAATATCTATCATACTTTTCAATAAAGATAGAAACCAAATTTGAATAATATAATATTAATTTTTTTTCAATCTAGGAAAATTTATTTCATTCCCCTATAAGATTACTAAAATACAATTTTAAATTAATTCCAGGTACAATATTATGTTTGAATTCATATATTTAAAAAAAAAAAATCATTATGTAATTGCAATTTTTATAAATTCATTCTGTACATTGACAATATTTTTTCTTAATACTGTTTTTTTCTTACATTGACAATATTTTTTCTTACCTATTTATACTACTAAAAAATATTACCGTTATTTTATTGTTGTTGCAATCTTATCATTCCAAAACAAAATCAATATCCTGAAATCAAATTAATTATTATTGTAGTTTTTTTGCCAAATATTATCGTTGCTTGATTTTCTTTAAATGACAAAATGAATTTTTTTAATAATAAATATTACTGTTATTTTATTGTTGTTGCAATCTTATCATTCCAAAACAAAATCAATATCCTGAAATCAAATTAATTATTATTTTGGTTTTTTTGCCAAATATTATCGTTGCTTGATTTTCTTTAAATGACAAATTGAATTTTTTAAATAATAAATATGAACCACTTAAATTGTAGTAACGTGTGTTTCTTTGTGGACATTGCAAATGAGAGAACGTTGGAAAATATCAAATATCCAAATGCTTCTGACAAAACAACATCGATAAATGTGTAGGAACTTGGGAAAACTATAGATAAACATGCTCTAATGAAATCCCTTTAGGTTTTACGGCTATATTAGTACATAGGCTGATGAAAAACTTTTCATTTTCCTATATTACACATATCCACATGCTACGTAATTGCCAATTATTTTGGAGGGAACAGACGAATTTTCGTACGAAATATATATATATATATATATATATATATATATATATATATATATATATATATATATATATATATATATATATATATATATATATATATATATATATATATATATATATATATATATATATATATATATATATATATATATATATATATATATATATATATATATATATATATATATATATATATATGATGGAAATGATCCATTCTTAACATGTACCTTATATATTATATATTAGCATTTCAAGTATTGTTATATATGATTACTTCCTTATATATTATATATGATTATATATTATATATTATATATGATTACTTCCTTAATATAGTATGCAAAAAAATTAAGCAAATTATATTACTATAAATTAATAATGTTTTACTTTATTATGTCCCAAACTGAAAAAAATTATTTGTGGAAAATTTTTGAACCCATTTATTGATCATTTAACATCCATTACATTAAAAAAAAACTCTTATACAATAAATTTGTGTACGTTGATCCACCTATATATATATATATATATATATATATATATATATATATATATATATATATATATATATATATATATATATATATAT